CCACAGCCTCAGCAGAGGACGAGCGATGGCGACGCACGAGTCGCATCACGTAGAGAAGCATTTCACGGCGGGGGAGTTCGTTCGCGATGTGGTCATCGGTATGTCCGACGGGCTGACAGTTCCCTTCGCCCTGGCTGCGGGACTCTCTGGAGCGGCCGCCCCTTCTTCGATTGTAGTCACGGCCGGTCTGGCTGGCTGCCGGCTGCCGGCGGAGGTGCACTCACCCGCCCAAGCCCATGGGTTGGGCGGGTGAGTGCATTCCTTTGCTTCATTCCGGACTCGATTTCTCGTCCCAGCCTCCCGCAGCCGCCAGCAATCGACGTGGACGTGGGGGAGGGGTCAAATTAGTCTTCGATTGATTCATACTCCATGCCGAAAGCAGTTCGGGACGCATCGAGTCTTGGGAGTTGCTGGCTGAAGTTCACCAGGCAGACCTAAGTGTCGACGACGATGACGCCTCCACGCCTCCACGGATCACCTTCCGATTCACTTTTGCCGGCTGCGTAGGCTACTGCCCCATCCTCAAGTGGTTCGACCTGTCGCACGCATTCAGCGCGCTGGTGAACCGCCCGAGGCAGCCGCAGGCATTCGTGTCTCTACGCCAGTGAGTCAATTTTGGATTTGAATTATCACGGGTCTACATGGATACAATGCTGATTGGGAGTTCCATCACACTTATCGTTCGGCTCCGCTCTTGAAGTACTACTGCTCAGACGTGGAAGTATCGTCTTCCACCATAGACTGCCTGATGACGGTACATACTGTGATCCCAGTCCACCAGAGCAATCCTTGACATCTGGTAATAACGTACCAGATAGTGATCTACCGGTAATTTGTGACTTCCACCCGCACTTGAAGCAGCACCAGTATTTCCCTTCTTAGACGATTCTGATGCTTGAGAAGTAGATGTCAACTGCAACTAATTTTCAAATTCGTTGGGTTCAAATTCAAAGTTTGAATTCAAATTTGAACTTTGAATTTGAGTTTTGAGAGCTGAACAGCTCGTTACTGTTGAGTCAAGCAAGGTCGAATTCAGATGGGGTTCAGGCCGAGATGGATCATGTGAGTCCGATACAACACGCACCTTCTGCATAGGAATTACGCTCGTCCACAGACAATACTGACTCAAGCGGGACAAGACGATAGTGCACATTGGTCCACCATTCGTTGTAATTTTCTGCACCTCTGAACCTGTCATACGTCCCATAGACCAGCCTTCGAAGGATTGCACGTTTCTTGATCCGTATTGTTTCGGCACTGTCATTATCATGGGCCGACATTAGGTTTCTGCATTCTGCATAGTTCTCCTTTGCTTTCTGTTCCTTGACTTTATCATAAACGTAGTACCCCGCAGCGGCCGTAGCCGTCAATGCGAAGGACGCCAAGAACTTGATAGACCCCAAGAAGACCCAGTGAGGTAATTCACTCTGTGAGCAGGAATCCAGCTCGATATTGATTGCGTTTCGGTTCTCCGATGTGATGTTAGGTGTGCTTAGTTCTCTAGTCCGTCTCATGTGGGCTGTATTTTCTGACGCTGGAATTTGTTGTTGTTGACAACAGTGGCAGTGGAATCCATCCTCGATGCGCTTTACGTGTCACTGTCTCTGGTCCAAAATAACAGCGTCTTCACACTGGGACAAAATACTGTTTTTCCCGGAGCTGACATCTGTATCGATCCATCGACGACCAATTTGACAACGGTTGCTTGCATCTCACCGAAGCTTCTTCCATCATTTGCTTTGAAGACATCGTCAGTCTAGGCATACTTTCCTCGGAGAGGAGTTGAAATATTAAGGTAGTGAGTGGAACACATTCCAGATCTAGACATATTGATTAAACACGTTGATTCGATTTGTTGTGAGTGTTGCTATATTGTTGGCACCAGTGTGGAGACAATACTAGAATAGATGTTGACAAGCGCTGCTATCTCAAAAAACCTGCCAAATATTTGTATAGATTATACTTTCTGATCTGTTCGTTTAGATTACAAGTCGATGGGAAGGCTAGATCGCTGGATATTCAGAAGAACATGTGCACACCGTTGTATATGGAAGTTCTCGTCTTGCGGAGGCTCTGAGAGCGAGAAGGGGTCAGAGCATGCAGCTTTGGAGGATAGGAAGTTTGAACGATTGCACATCCGAAAGAAGTTCATGGACCGATGACATTTCCTATCCACGATGGGATCTTCCCAACCATCTGGACATTTTCCCCCAGGTTTCTTAGATATTCACTTACTATGTAGACCATCAAATTTGTGGATTTGAAGGCAAGAATGGAGGTTGTAGATACAAATGTAGAGTATATGAAAAAATGATACACTGTGAATGTCAGTAGTCAAGATGGTGCCAGACGGACCAGTTGATTTCTTAGTTGCCATCAGCGGTTTCACAGCAACTTGAATTTGATCCACATCAAGGTGTGAAAGTAAATCAGGATCACATAGCTAATATCGGTATTAGTAATTGAAAAAGAAATCCGTATATTTTGATATAATATGTTCTATACTTAGCCTTAACAATAATAAGCTCTATAACCCTCAAGTTAGTTCAGAAACTCAGCTACGACTGTGCAAAAAATGTGAACTATATCAATTGACGTGATCCATGATGTCTCAGTACATACCGTACCCAGCCAAACCCTCGAATAACACCTGGAGCCACCATAACATAGCTGTAATCATGCCACTTTAAAAGAACGCATGAGGGTAGAGACGATAAAAGTCAAGAGTCAAAAAGTGCTAAGAAAGTCGACCATATCGACAACAACTTGTCCTCAAACCTTCTGCTTTATCAAAGTTTATTCCTACTGTGAAAACCTGAAACAACCAGGTATTGTAGATCGAAATAATCACAACTAGGTATTGTCCATTGAGAGCAAAATAATTTAACCTTCAATAATATATAATGGAGCTCCGGTAGAGTGAGGTAATGTGGTAGAGTAGCAAGGGGAGAATTGCACACGTAATCTCCATATCAAGCTCATATATCTCATGATTCAAGCTGCCTACCCTTGAATATAGTTCGCTGCAGCTTGAACTATATTGGTCACAACTTGTGTATCACCTCCTCTTGATTGTATTGTTATAGAAGGAGGCCCAGCTTTCTCCCTCCTACCTCAAGCACATTCTTTCCGTTGGAAATGAGTTGAATAGGTGACCTCCATAATTTGGAAATTGATCGATAGAAATAGTGAGGAATACTAAAATTGTGACTATATGCAAAATTCCTACAGTTTAAGAATGTATCTGATACAGGATCACTAAAATTGCTAGCCTCATCCCAAAAGCTGAAGAAACCTTGAAGCACTTCCAGATCTGACACTGCCGGGGGAGGATCTGGACCATCAGTTGACGATGCGTAGGCGAGGATGCCGTCCTTTCTTTCCAACTCGACCGTCACTGAGACGAACTTCAATCATCGCTGCAGTACTTCCCACGGCAGCGGCGGTCATACATCCATCCACCCTTCCATCCGCACAGGGCATCAGATTCTTCCGCCCATGACTTTGACTGGCACGAGCTTCTCTGTGTTGATCACACCTGCTAGCTAGAGATTCAGCTCTATCTCTATCGATCCCGGCAGCTCTACACACCCCGATTCTCGAATCTGCCATCATGATCCCGCATCGACGACTCGCGCTGAGTCACCGGGACATAGGACCAATCGCATCCACGACCGTCTTCAAACCCTCACGCGCCTGTGATGGTATATAACGCTGCGATCAGTACACAGGGTGCGTGGAGTGAGGGAGGGTAGCTCGCGTGATTTGTTCCACTCGGTGAGATGATTCGTTGATGCGATCGAGGAGAAGGAGGAGGGAATCATGTTTAGGCGTGGGAGTTCGGGGATGGAGAAGGAGTAAGAGTAGCTCGGCCTGCTCAGGTGCAGGAAGCAGGGGACCGATCACTGACAATGACTGACTGACAGACTGACTGATTTCCTCTAAGACCATCTGTTGTTGTTATAGGGTATAAATGTACCAAAAGGTTCTAACTAAGGGTTTAAAATTGGGTTACCGAGAAGAACGTTTTTGAAATTTGCAAGCTTCAAACATAAGAGTTCGCGGTAGATGATCTATGGTCACTTCACCAGTTGTGTGAATACAGTTTGCACTCTGCTCGATGCACTCTCTCATCTCGTAACTTCAGATAAGGAAATTTCTCTCGTCTTGATCCGACCTGGATTCCGGGTTACCGAGCTCCCTGTCCTCGTTAATGGAGTAGTTGTCCACAAGCTGTCCAGATTTGCGTCGCATTTGTTTCATGTGTCAAGTTGTTGAGGACGGATGTGGATGCTCAAATGCCCCGATCCGCGGGTTACGCAATTCCTCTCTCACGTGCAGTTTCGTTATACCTCCCTCTAAATTGAAATCACTGAGACATTTACTTCTGTGGCTGGGTACTGTTTGAGATCACGAAGCAGTTCTTCTTCGTCACACTAAAATACAATTCACACGGGTTGAAAGTCGAGCCCATGGTATTCAACTTAGAAGGAGAGAGATGAGGGCGAAGGCTTCCAAGTCCAAGAGTAGAAGGGAAATTACGAATCAGATACCCTTCATTATCCAGCAATTATTGTGGCCCTAATGCACGTTGTCCCCAGTCATGCAAAATGTTCTTTCTCTTAACTTGCAACTTCCAAATGACCACCTTCCGATTCTGTCCCCTTCCATGTCCTTTATCTGTGGAATTCTCACGTCCTTTTTCTCATTCAAGTACAAGAAATTGTACCAGAAAGTGTCCACAAGTTTCATGTCTCTCAGTCCCCTCCCTGTTCGACCGAAATCAAATGGGTCCAGAAACCGGCTCAAAGGACAGTTACTTGCCGAACGTGCCATGACCCCCTCCATCCGAGAGACAAGTACTTACTCTTTAGGATTTTATCAACTCCTTTGACCAGATCTGGTTTCTGTTGACACTTGAACTGATCACTGACCAGAGTATACCAGAGGAGTTTTAGGTGGCCAGAAATTTTGCCAACTAGAGAATATGAGACACAAATCGTTAGGAAAAACACATCAACTGAAAGTAGCAAGGTGCCGAGGGTCCTTGTGGAGTGAACTTTCTACCTCCTTGATTGAGTGTCCTGTCAAATCTCCAATGTACGCTCTGCCTACTGCCTGCTGATCTGTGGATCTGGACTCTCAAAAGCGTTCACATAAATTCAACACTCGGATTGTGAAGCCTGCATGAATTGGGAATGGAAATGGGAGAGAATACTCTTCGGAATGACTTACCTTTCGGAAGCTTGGGCCAGAAGTCAGTGGGGAAAGCTCCTGTCTGAGGCATCTGCGTAAAAATAGGAATAATGAACGGCACACAATTAATGCAAACTTCCGTTCGAACTTCACGAACAGGAATCAACAGGGAGCCAATTCTCAGAAGCTCAGTTCCCGAGAAATTCACACATCTTTCTGGTAACTAATTCGTCCAAGGTTGTTGTCTTGCTACTGCTAATCTGAACCCTGTTAGCCGTAAACCAAAGTGAGAAAAGACAAACATACAAATAACTTCTAGCCTGCTGCTGCTGATAAAGGGAAATTTAATTCTACAGTTCAAATCGAGGACCTTCTCTCTCTAGTACTACGAACAAACAGGAACAAAACGAATACCTTCTCCAAGCTCCGAAGTATACTGCTGGACATGACGAAATATTGCAATCTGCTACCTGTTCGAATGCTGCATATAACATCCATCGAATGTGCGAGATAATCTGCACCCTTACAGACCTCTGTATCAGAACCACCACTGGTACTTAACCGTAGAATCGAAGCAGACAGATAGGTAGATAGACATATCAGGCATGCATGCGTCGTGCTACAGAAATTATCTTTCTCTATCCGATTTTAATCCACAAGGAGAGATTTAAGGTTGGATTTGCTGTGGAAAGTTGCACTTTATGGCCGGATGTAGATGAATAGAAGACATTGTATCAATGAACTGCCTCTGCAATATACCATCTATCTACCATTCGAGCATGCGTAGAGACAGGGGACTTGAGGAAGAGTAGGAGTGATAGGTACGTACTGTGTACAAAGCTGCAATCTGCTCCAATAAACCTCTAGCACTCGCAGCACTGTTTGTGATTCGGTGTCCTCTCACAACGGGACGGCTGACGCTGGCTCAAGTTTCGATTGCTCCTCATCGCTAAGCGGGAGAGATATTTGTCATATTTGTACTTTCGAGACAACCTGTATTTAATCCACGGAGTACCTCTTCTCTCTCATCGTGAGACGCAACCCTTGCACACAGACTGTAGATGTCAGTCAGTTCATTTGGGAGAAAATAAAATGGACTTACCGGTCCACATTTGAATGTCATTCTTCATCGTTGTGAGTGGCACGGTTTCCATACCATTCACTACCATTCCAGATTATCCTAAGGTTGTGTCAATAAGCTCAGGACTGAAGAATTTGAACCCCAAAGAACAGCTATCATGAACAAGCTCCAGCACATCTATTACCACAATCAACGTAAGATAAAGGCAGATTCAAGATAGATAGCATTGCACTTCGGATAAATCACTTTAAAACTCATTTCACTCTGCTCTTAAATTGAAAATTCACGCGGTAGACTGAAGTTCTTGACCTCCAAAGAAGCCTGTTCCCGAATTGCCTGATCATCAAGCGAGTGACAATTTTATAATCAATCCACGTTTATATCATAGTCTACGCACGATTGAGGGACGAGTTTCAGGTCAATGAAAAGACCGTGGTCAGCATCAGCCATCTTTGGCGTCAAAGGCACGGAAATTACGACCACGACCACTGCACACCTATTGCTTGAAAGGGCCAGGGGATGCGCATGAGCATAGTCCACCGTGGTTCCAATCAATGAGACTATCGTACGAATAATATGATCAAATATGGAAAACCGTGCGCGCCTAAAACTATTCACAGGATGAACTACATAGTGCATTTAATAAATTCTCGATTCAAAACAAGGGTCAGATATCACAATCCTGTTTCTCTCTGACTCGTCCTCTTCCCCACTAACGGCGGTCCTGGAGCTCGGGTCAAGGTATGTTCATCTGGCTGGCCGTCCTGAACTAAGGAACTATCTTTTCTCTCTTCCCCATCTCAGCAAATTCAATTTACTGTTAGTCAGTTATATACTACGGACTTACGAAAGTGATCAGAAGGACTCAATCTGAAGAACATCATGTACTTATACCATTGCCTTGCTGCCCAATGGCCGGAAGAATTGCTGTTCTCTTCTTATGCAGCCACATTTCAGATTAGATCCAGAAGAAAAGAGAACTTTGACAGTGAAACGAATGTTTGATGCTGTTGGGATATTTACAACCCATTCGTGATCCGTGTAGTACATCGATCAATCTTAAAAACGAATTCCACGATTCAGAATAGGATTGAAACAAATTTTAGGTGAACACATCTTTCCCTGTCGAGCTTCCTGGGTTTTTTTAACGTACAGAGAGTTTCAACCAATTGAAAAGGGACACATTTGAACCATGGTTATCTTCCAACAAGATTCGCTCTACCATCTCACCAGCTCTTACGATGAAGCTAAACTACATATAGTCCACATACAGCGGAACGTACCATGAAATATTATATATTATTTCTTAGACAACTTGAAATTCCTACTAAGTTGGCACAGTGTTTGCGATATGCCTTCTAAGATTTTCATAACTTCAATTCTCGAGAATCGAAATTAACAATCTTCAGTATTTCTGAATCAAACGATATCTATGGTAGACAACAAAAAGCACAAAAGACATTGTTGTATTTGACTTATTTGAATCTATTTGATTAAAAATTGATTTATAAATATAAAAATCTTTACGATAAACAAGCAAAAATTTCATACTGTCAAAACTTTCTTTATTGGTTCACTTTAAACAGCGACATAGATGTTCAGAATATCTTCAAACGCAGGTTATAGTCATTTTTTAATATATAATATGCTCAAAATAATAGTGCATTTTACTTTACAGAGGTAATACTAAAAATTTTGAACAATTATATTATTATGTCTTTTAACTATTCTATGTATCATATGATAAGAATTAAATTTTACTCCGAAGCGCCTCTTTACATAAATTGGTGCATACCCCGCAATCTGTCATTTGAAGGGTGGAGATAAGGCAGTTTGCTTATATCCCAACGAAAAGTATATGTAAATTCTGTTCATGTAGGTACACAATAAACGGATTAAACGGATAGACAATAGTAACATACGCAACAGATGGATTCCTAGAGTGGCCTCTGTGTGCAGTTTCACGGCATTATCTTCTTCACTTCAAAAACAACAGTCAAACCGTTGGGTTGCTTAGCAGGTATGATAGGTTACAGCATTTTTGGAATGCATGCGAGCCGTACTACAATCACCCCCACAACTTCTGACCGTTCTCTTGAAAATCAGAAAGCTACGGAAGGACTCGTCAAATTTTAGTTACAGATAGACGGCCTCACCTCTTTCGCTCAAAGATATTCAAGTTTTCAGAGCCATGCGCTCGAAGATGCGAGTTGGTTACCTGTTTCTCCCTGTAACCTCCACATTTTCGCAAATCCTTACTGAAATCCAGATCATTTTTATTCATCCGTTATGAGTTTTAAAATTTTTGTGGTACCCCACTTTTGGAAATTTTGAGGAAATTAAAACATTTTTGGAAAACTGTACCCCGGCAGCATTGTAAATAGCCTTCGGTACATCAAAACAGAGTGAATCCGGAAGATCGCGGGGATTCTCGAGGGATCTTGTAGAATCTGGGAGTTGGGGTGCAGTAGTAAGGTCAGGCACCACCCTCCCTGCGAGCTCCGCAGTTAGGATCTCTACGGCGCAAGGCGCAAAACCCGCCTTCGGAGGTTGCGTCCGCGGCTGTAGGGAAACCCTCGTAATTAGGTAACCCTCGGGCTCCTTGACCAAGTTAGGATCCCGTTGGAAAGAGCTCGACGCGCTGATTCCAACGAGCCCAAGAACGCTTGGAACGGACGAGGACTTAGGGAGTTATCGCTACTGGAAGAAACGGAGGCGGTCGCCTGCGGCGGAAGAAATTCGCCACCGGCGCGAATTCCGCCTACGCGGAAGGGGGATTCAAGTTTTGTCCTATGCGCGGACGAAGGCGTTCGCCTGTGCACAGGCGAAGTAGGGTTAGGGAAGGCGCGAAGTCCGCCTACGCACAGGCGTTCGCCTGTGCACAGGCACTTCGGCGTCGGCGGGAGATCCGCCTTGGGCCCTAGAGATGCGCCTTGTGAGGTAGAAAGTGTACGGCGCCTTCCGCGCCAGCGCAGCGCAGCGTACGTCGGAAGAGCCGCCAGAGTAATCCAATAGGTACGGACCGTGCGGACGGCACGGGTGGATGCGCTCTTGGACGGACGGAGTTGCGGCGGCGGAAGCGCCGACGGAGAGACAAGGAACGGACAGACTGGACGGAGACGGCTGACCACGGTCACCGCCTTCCGCGCCAGCGCAGCGCCGCGGACGGAATTCGCCTGCGCACAGGCGAACGCCTGTGCACAGGAGGATGTTCAAGTCCCGCGCCGGCGGAGAATCCGCCGAGGCCCCTGCCTGCGCACAGGCAGGAGTTGAATTTTTGTCCGACATGCGGACGCACGCGTCAAGGCAGAAGGAGATTGGCCGAGAGGCGGTACGAACAAGTGTACCGCGCAAGGCGGAAAACTCGCCTTCGGCGCTACGCCCCCATGTCCGGAGGGTGACACGCTCGCGGAGTTCAAATCCGCCAATTCGAGCGTGAGAGTTTAATCGACGACGGCGGAGCGTGAAGCCGCGCGTGAGAGCGAAGACCGTTCCAGCGTACAGCCGGCGCGGCCATCAAGTGAGACGTTCTTCACGACCAAGAGACGACCATGACCTTCGACCGGGCGGCGAAGAGCGTCCCATTCTTGAATTCGCGATTCCAATCTCTTGTGCGCGCTGCGCGCATCCATCTGCTGGCTGCGGAACATTCTCGTCGTCGTCGCTCAGGAGATTTCTTGTTGATTGAGGGAGAAGTGAGTGCGCGTGATTTGGAATTGAGAGCAATTAGAGTTTGCCGAGAGAGAAAGAAACGCGGACAGTGCGGAAGTAGAATGAGCGGGCGAGCGAACCCCAGGAACGCAATGACGAGACCGAGCAGATTGCGGATGGTGCCACTTCGCCTGCCGCAGAACGGGCTGCGCGCTTTCGAAGAGCGCTTGATAGCAAGAAAGCTCGATTTCTTGCTATGGGGATGGAATTACATCTGCGCGAATATGGTGCGCGAGTGGCTAGAGCCACAGGGACCACCCTCGCGCGGATTGCGTCCGCATGTTGACCGATGGACAGTCCAAGATTGGGCGCAGGCGTTGGGAAGATGTGCTGGCATGCCAGGGCATCTCCTTTTCGACAGCGAGAGCATCAAGGTGACCAAGCAAGAAGAAGCGCAATTTGTGGAGCTGTTCAAGACCGGGAGGTCTACCAAGAATGGGTACAGGACGCGTGATTACAAAGATCGATTTCGCCGGACTTTGTCCGCGGCGCTGATGCAATTACTGCAGCCGCACCGCGCCTGCTACATCACATTGTGGCAGGTCTCTTTTGTGGAGTGCGTCATCGAGGGAACTCCAATTCACTGGGCGAGCATCCTGCACAGAGTGATGCGACAGCACGCGTTTGAGGAGAAGGGGGGAACGCTAAACCATCTTTCTCCTTTCCTCATCAATTTTTATCGACAGCGGAATTGTTTGACAGCGGCGGAGCTTGAACATTTTCCGCCATTGTCCATCGACCATCCCGGGAAGTATGTGCGGGAGAACGAGGTCGACACTGATGCGGAGGAGTCACCGACTTCTACCCCATCAAGACGGAGAGACGAAGGGAGACACACCCCTGCAGCGCGAGTGCCGCGGAAGCGGCGATGGAGGGAAGAGGCCGAAGAGGAGCAGCATCAAGAACTCTCTGCTCCCATTCGACCGCGGCCGCTGTGCGAGCCATACAGCCGGCCGAAGCAGAAGGCACGCAGACTGGTGTTGCCAGCTGACAGTGCAGACACGGCGACGATTGCGACGGAGATAGGAAGTGCGTCGCCAGAGAGGCGAGAAGAAGCGCGGACGACCGCAGGAGCGACGGGCCACGCTGCAACCTCGTCGGGAGAGAGGCCGCCTACGGGCCAAGGGCCTCCGGAGTTATCACGTGTGATGCGGACAGATGTTCCGTTTGCGCACAGGCGAACCTCCGCGGACGGACGAGCCTCCGCGGATCGGCGAACACAAGTGGACGTGGATCTACGCTTACGCGTGGGAAGGAGCAGTCCGCCTGTGCACAGGCGCTCGCCTGTGCACAGGTCGCCTGTGCACAGGTCGCCTATGCACAGAACACCTCCGCACGTGCCGCCTGTGCACAGGCAAGAATCACCCCCGTTCCAACGTAGGAAGGGGAAGGAGCCGGCGGAAGAACCGCCTACGAGACACCGGCCCTCGGGGCCAGACCCACCGGCGCACCACGCGCCGCAATTCGCGCCTTCGGCGCCAGGGCCTTCGAGCCGAGGAGATACGAGCAGAGAGCGTGCGGAGGCCGCACCATCGGCGGGAAGTACGCCGATAGACGCGCCTTCGGCGGTAGGGCCTATAGGCCAAGGAACATCGGGCGCGCGGCCCCCGGCCATGTCGCCTTCGGCGATAGATGTCCGCGGCGCTACGCCTGCGGCGGACAAGGCGCCGGCAAATGCGCCTGCGCACGGGTGGGGGCACAGCCCCCACGGACCGATCGAGGGAGCAGCAGACGGAGGAGCGGAGTGACTGTCCGCGGGATGAAATCTCGATGCGCGATGCGCAATCCAACCCCGCGCAGCCACCCTCCGCTCGATCGCCTTCGGCGACGGACGACGGCGACAGAGAGAATGCGGTGGGCAATCAACCAGCGAGCGACGGGGATGCCGCTCGGATACATTCGCCTTCCGCCTTAGACATTTTGGCGACGAGCAGCGAGGCTGCTGCCGTGCCTTCGCAGACAGCACACGTCGAGGACGTGCAGCCCCACTCAGGGCAGTCGCCGACGCAATCAATGGCGACTGAAATTCTCCACTCGGATGATGAGGACGGAGGCTCCACGGAAGAAATGTCAGGAGCAGAAGACACCGAGGAGGAGGAGGAGGAAATTGTTGGAGCGCCGGCGGCGGCGCTCTCTGAGCAGGTGATTCCGTTGCTGCGGTACTTGGATCGCAAGGTCGATAAATACGCCGACCCACTCCAGCCGGGATCTTACATCGAGTTAGTGCGCAGGCGGACTCGCACTAAAGTCCACACCAGCAAGCTATTAGCTAGAGTGGACCAGGAGTTGAGGGACTTGAAGGAGAAGCATGAGTGCTTGTGGGGACAGTACAAGCTTAATCAGAAATTCTACAAGCACTCCGA